TTGAGAAATGTATGGATAAAGATTTTGATAAACGACCTACTGCAACGGAAATTATTGAAATTATCACTCGTTGGTTATATGAAATAGACCAAAAAGATGATAATGAAATCAAAAATCAAATTTTGGAAGCTAATAAAATTAAAACAGAACCGATCATACAAACACATTCACAAGAAATGTATTCTAGCAAATTATATGATACGAAAAGATTTACAGATTGTATTAGTAAACCGATGAGTGAAGTAGAAATTTCGACAATTTTCTCAAATTTAGATTTAAATTAAACTATATAAATATGATTATGTCACACGTACTTAGGAGGTACAATTAGTCTTTTTTTTTCCTAGTTAGGCCAGACCAATTTAATTCTTAGTTTAACATAACCCCTCACCCCTATTTTTCAAAATTTATATGAACCCAATACACATTAATAGTAATTAATAGTATTTAGTATTTACCCTCCTCAATTTTTTAAATTTTATATAACCAACACATGTTAAATCAACCAATAAAATTACAGTATTATAATTTTTGTGTTTTTTTTGCCCCCACTTCTATAAATTATTTAATGTTATGTTAAACGAAGAATCAATTTGGAGTGGCCTTATCAAGATTAAATCCCATTTATTATAGAGAGATATATTTTTTCTCATTTAATTTATAAGTTTTAGTGCATTAATTATATTATTTGTGGTTTGGTAATTTGTTTCTTGGGAGTAAGTAATTTTTAAAATCAATTTATAACATTCAGTGAAATCTTTATTTAACTTTATAAATATATTTTGAACTTAAATATGATTGAAAATTACTAATAAACTAACAATTGAACAAATAAATTTTTCATAAGAACGCAATATTAACTTTGTGTCTAAATTAAATACTAGAAATTTTATACTGTAGAATCTAAATATAGGCCAAAAAATAAGATTAAAATCCATTTTTTTTTGAAAATTGGCTTTTAATCTGACTTTAACAGTTAACAACTATACCAACAAATTCTAAAACATTATAGTTTTTAAGGAAATAGTGATTCTATTGTTATTAGGTCAACCTAGTGTTTTGCGTTAAAAAGGCGAAATATGAACCCGATGAAATTAGCGAAATTGAAATAAGGCAGTAAAAACTGGTAAATTATTACATGATGCAGTAAAATTTACAAACAAAATACATTGAAATGAAAAATAAATATGAATATTATTTATTATTATTTCGAAAAATTTTTCCATCATTCCCGCTATTTTGTAACTCATTGAATTAAGTTGGTCTGACCCTAAAGTATATGATATATAATTGATTATTATAATTTTCTAATAAGGCATATACTAATATAGTTTTTATATTACATAGTTATTTACTACCTTAGTCTCTTGCGTAGATAAACGATACGTGCAAAGAACTTGCTTTTTTAGGATAGGGTCATAAATATAAATTGGACCGCACAAAGGAAATTATTTGATTTAGTGTAATTTACGTAAATGTCATTTGCATTATAAGCAGTAAGTTAATCATATAAAATGGAATAATATTCGTATGTTAAAGTAAAATAAATTAAATTGCTAATTAATAATCAAGATTCTTTAAAAGCAGTAACAAATACTTCATTTAAAATAAAAACAAATAATAGAAATAATAGTTTCTTTTTTAATTTTTATTAAATAAAATTACTCATATATACTTTTGAATTGTAAATTAAATAAATTTTTATTAAAATTATTTAAAAAAAGTGAGTACTATGATAATTAATAAATCAGAAACGGATAAATTTCTTTGGTTAAATGTATTTTTCAAAAATTTGAAATTTTTATTTTTAATTGGATAAAAAGTACATCTCTTTATTTGGTTTAATAACGGCATCAAATTCGTACGAAAGTTTTTTTTTTTTTTTGATCGCACACATAATGTCGGGGATGATGCTGAAACAAGATGATGCTGAAACGTAGGGGTCTCAATTTAGAAATATAAGCTCTACTAAAATCCACCTATACATTTTTATTATAAATACTAACCCTAAACCCTAACTTAACTACAAAAAAAAAGCTAAAAAAAACATCCCCAAAAATTTTAAAATTTAATATTAAAATAAGCACTCAAGAATTCTGTGCCAGGTTTTGTCGATCATTCATCAGGTGATAAACAATCATGTACGTACATTGATATTCGTGCATATTTGTGTAACGGTTCATGTAAATTCGTGCAATACTGTATATTATACAACTAAAATTTGGTTTTTTTAGAACTTTAAGCCAATATTTCTTGATGAATTCTTAATTAATTTTCAGCGAATTTTTTTTATTTTAATTCCACAAGTTAATAGAGTTAAAATAAAAATTTTTTATCGAATTTAGTTAGATAGTTGTTGAGAAAACTTAAAGTTGAAAAAAAGGTTAAAAATCTTTAAAAAATCAAAGCCGTAGTAAAATTTCTTTTTTTTCAACCTTAAGTGAAGATTTCTCAATGAATATCTAACCAAAATTTATGAAAATTTTTTTATTTTAATTCTATGTGTTTGTAGAATCGAAATAAAAACAAATTTATCGAATTTTGTTAAGTAGTCACTGAGAAATATTTATTTATTGTTTAAATAAAAATTTTGCTACAGCTTCTTTTTTATAGGTACTAAAGCTTTGAGCGAAGTTTTCCTGATGAATATCCAACAAAATTCTTTATTTTTTTTTTTGGTTTTAATTCTACATGTTTGTAGAATCGAAATAAAACAAATTTATTGCTTTTGCTATGTAGTCACTGAGAATATTTATTTATTGTTTAAATAAAAATTTTGCCGCAGCTTCTTTTTTATAGGTACTAAAGCTTTGAACAAAGTTTTCCTGATGAATATCCTACAAAATTCTTTGATTTTTTTTGTTTTAATTCTGTGTTTGTAGAATCGAAATAAAAACAAATTTATCGCTTTTGCTATGTAGTCACTGGGAAATATTTATTTATTGTTTAAATAAAAATTTTGCCACAGCTTCTTTTTTATAGGTACTAAAGCTTTGAGCAAAGTTTTCCTGATAAAATTCTTTATTTTTTTTTGTTTTAATTCTACGTATTTGTAGAATTGAAATAAAAATAAATTTATCACTTTTGCTATATAGTAACTGAGAAATATTTATTTATTGTTTAAATAAAAATTTTGCTACAGCTTCTTTTTTATAGGTACTAAAGCTTTGAGCAAAGTTTTCCCAATGAATATCTAACAAAATTTTTTATTTTTTTTTTGGTTTAATTATATAGTGCTACAAAATTGAAATAAAAAATTATATAATTTGGTTAAATATTCATTGAGAAACCTTCGCTTAAAGTTTAGTACCTGTAAAAAAAAAGCTGCAGCAAATTTTCTTAAACTTTAAATCAATAATTTCTCAGTGACTACATAACCAAATTTCAATAATTTTTTTTATTTCATTTCTAAAATCATTTAGAATTATACTATAAAAATTTATCAAATTTGATAATATCTTCATTGGGAAATTTCAGTTTAAAGTTAAAAAGTAATTTAAGTATAATTATCATTTAATGAGATAATATTTATATAATATTACAAATGTACCTTTCCCAAACTTTGTACACTTATGATATTCAATACTCATATAAAACACATGTAATTATAAGCAACCATTAAATTCAATTATTATTATTTGATTATATATAAGTTTAGGTACTTATATACAATATAAAATCAGCAATTACAGAAGCTATTTTAAGTTGTAATGCTAGTTACATTTATCAATTCATTTGATTTTTACTTATATTTTGACTAATAATATGCTTCTTTTGCTAATTGTCTGAACCTTATATGCTGGTATAATATGTGGGTTATTATTTTCTTTAAAATTTTTTATATCTAGCTCATGTTTTATATGCTTTACTGAATCAATTTGGACACAAATTTTTGCTTCACTTTTTACACATGCAAGTAGATCATTATTAGGCCTTATATTATGAAGAAAAGAAGTTAATACTGGGATAGACTTAGCTTTTGCTGCATTATACCATTTAGCTAATTTCTTAAGAGAAGCTTGGAGTTGTGAACCACTATTTTTATAATTATCCTTGATTGTTTTAAGAAATATTTCAAATAATTCCAGATTATGCCTTAATTAAAACAATCTATTTAAATAGTGTTAATATATAAAAGTATACATAATAAAGTAAACTTATATTTTAGTTATAGTAGTTTGGCTTATATCTATATTGACTTTAGTATTAACCATCTCTAATTTATATGTTTTGTCATGTAAAATCTTAGTATACTTAGAATTTTCTTGTTGACTGTAATTTATTTGAGAATGTAATAATATGCAGAAAGAATCGTTAGCTACAACTCTTAAATTATATATTTAAATTATTAAAGTAAACTCATATTTTAGTTACAGTAGTTTGGCTTATATCTATATTTACTTCAGCATTAGCTGTCTCTAATTCATATAATTTTTTATACAAAATCTTAGTATAGTTATAATTTTTATATTGACTATAATTTGTTTGAGAATGTAATGATACTTAAAAAGAATCATTAGCTACAACTCTTAAATTATATATTTAAAATTATTAATATTACTAAATTAACTTATAAACTATTTATATATTTAATTAATTAAAAAAGCTTACTACGTGCAATAAATGCAAAATAAGCACAATCATTAGGTGTTAGCAATGAAAGAAAATTTAAAGATCCAATATGATATTTTGTAGCAACTGCTCTCTGGTAGTTACATGGTGCTCCTAATAAATCTACAAAACATGTACATGTACAGAATTTAGTATTTACTATATAAAATAAGCCAGTGCCTTTTTTCTGATTACGGATTAAAAATTCTGTAGTTAACTTAGTTTGCTGAATCTCTGCAGCATTAATTGCATCCCAACCAGGACACAAAGATCTTCTAGCAATTTGAAGATGACCGGGATGTAGGGTGGGGGGCATAAGGGTATAGGCATGCCTATGAGCATGAATTTTTTTATATGCCTATATATAGGCATATATTAGATATATATATAAATAAATTTTTAAATATATATAAATATATAAGAAATAATCTAATTTTTATTATTAATTTTTATTATATTAAATATGATTTCAATATATTGATTATTTTATAAATAAAGTTATTTTTATTTGTTTTAGTTTTTTAAAATAAAGTTAATTTTTTATTTGTTTTAGTTTTTTATAATTATTATTAAAAAAATTATTTATAATATAAAATAAGAAAATATTATTTTAGCACTAAGTATTATTCTGTATAACAAGTAAATAAAACCAACTTTTATCAACAAAAATTAAAATTTTTTAATAGTAGAATAGAGTAATAGTAAAAGATTAGAATTAAATAATATTTATAGTAAAATATAACAAAAAAATTTGTTTATTAAAGCCCAAAAAAATAGTTTTTTAAATAAAATTTAAAATATAACTAATTTTTAGTTTTGTTATACAAACTAATCTGTATGTTACCTAATCTTAGTTTTTAATTGGTTAAGAATGCCCTAGTACTATATATTATAGCACTATAAATTAAATAATTTAAAAATTTTTAGTTTTTTTTAAAAAATAAATATTTTTAAATATGCCCATAGGCATGCCTAGGAATGCCTCAAGCTCTGTTTTATGCTCATATTGGGCATAACAAAATTTATTTATGCCTCCACCCTATCAGGATAGCTATGTGCTATTTAGGGTAAGAGGCACAGGGCTCTTGGGCATGCTTTCTCTTGTGCATGCCTTTTAGCTAAAAGGCATGCTTATTTTATTTGATATTTAAAAACATATATTAAGTAAACATGTTTTCTAAGTGGTTAATTTAACTATTTCTAAAGATAATATTATTATAGTAAACTCTCTATAAATAAATATTGTTAAAAAAATATGCATTTCTGAAGATCTATATTTAGACTTTAATAAATTATTTTAAAGTTTTTTTTTTTAATATTTAAGGTGAGATATTGCTCTTATTATTTTAAAGTTATTTATTATAATATTCAAAAAAAATCTGTATAATTTTATTAATAACTTAATTTAGACAAAATTATTTTGCAAAGATGTAACTGATCAACTCTTTCCGACAATCATTTGGACCAACCTTACCAACAAAAAATAGAAGTTTGCTGAGTTGGAGCTGAAGTAGACACATAGTAACGGTTTTTATAGAGATCAACTGGGTTGTCTTGCTTTTTCCTTTGGCTTGGAGACTCCTCTATATATTTATCATGCAAGTTAGAAGCGTTCTTGTACAAGATAACTGGCAGGAGGGTGCGCCCTTG